GATATCTTTTAACCTAATAAATAGCTGTAGACTTACTACAACGTACCTGTTTAGCAATAAATCCAAAACTAAACTTTGGACCAGCTGGATGCTCACGTAAAAAGACAATTTCATATCATTTCTCTAAAGAAAGTTCCATTTTTCAAGCGAAAGTTTGATGATTATCTAAATTTTTTTTTTGTATCATCGACACTTATAAATTTACAGGTGATCATATATTATATTATATTATATTTCTGGAAAATTTAAGAGGTAGTTATATAATAATTTTGGATGATCTCAGGCGGTCAAATACTTATGACCGCTACTGTAACTCAACAATTCTTTGATATGCTAACAAATATAACAAATAGTCAATTATTAGCTTTAAACTAAAAATTTGCAATAGACATGATTAGAAAATTGCGAAAGCCCATTACAAGAAAGTTAAATAAAGGAAAAGATCCTGTGATAGTAGCAGAAACAGCTTATCTAAAAGAAAATGAATCAAATAGAGAACCTTCTGAAGTGAAAGCAATAGACACTGTAGAGGTTAATGAAGATAACAAATACCTTGCATCACAAGAGACATATAACTCATCCAAAAAGGATGAATAAAAGTCAACTGCTTTATATTGCTAAGTATACATCAAAAATAAGAAAATATCTTTAATCATCGATTCAGGATCTTTAAAATGCATTATATCTTATGCATTACTTAAGAAACTCAGCATGCAAATATAAAAGGAATCGAAAACAATAATGATTAATATAAATGGTGAAAAAAGAAAGCCTATGGAAATGGACACAAATATTTCCTTAAGAATAATGAGAAAAATAATTTTCTTTGATATAATTATAACTGAAACAAATTCCTATGATACAATTGTAGGAAATGATTGGCTAGAAAAGACAGATACAGAAATAAGCTACAGAAATAAAATTATGACACTGTATTAGAGAGAATATACAATCAATATCCCTATTAAATTTTGCCAATCACCTTTAATTAGAACTAAACAAATTGATAATAATAAAAGTGAAGAAGAGTATGAAGAAGAAGAATATGAAGAAAAGAGTGAAGAGGAAAATGAACAAGAAGGATTATTCTATTACTCTGAAGAAATTCCAATCAAAAAAGTTTAAAAGATTGATAAGGAGTTAGAAAAATCTACTATAGAAAATCAAAATATAAAGAAATACTTCTATCAATATAAGAAAATAGAAAAAGAAGCCTTTTATACTAAATGTTTAATAGTATAACAATTAAAGAGATTTAATAAATTCATGTTCTAATATGTTGACTTATTCGTTTAGAAAAATGATCAGTTTGGAAGAATAAATATTATCACACATTTCATTGATACTGGAGATGTAACGTTAATCAAGCAAAGATTTTATCGAACTTCGTATAAAAACCAAGAGTTTATAAAAGAAGAAATTGATTATTTGCTAAAATCAGGACTTATACAACTTTCTAAAAGCCAATGGATTTCGCCTGTTATAGTAGTGGAAAAGAAAAATGGCAAGAAATGTTTATATGTTAACTATCATAAACTAAATAGTATCATTAAAAAGGATAACTATTCTTTGTCATACATTGATGATATGTTAGAAACATTAGAAGAATCCAGATAGTTTACTTCTCTAGATCTTGCAAGTGGTTTCTGGTAGGTAGAATTAGATTCTAAAGATAGAGAAAAGACTACTTTCATCACCAGATTTAGCATATATGAGTTCAATGTCATGCTTTTTGGACTTTACAATGCTCCTGCAACATTTTAGCGATTAATAGATACCATTTTATGTAATATCTTATGGCAAAATATGGTTGTATATATTGATAACATTAACATTAGCACTAAAATGTTGACAAATATCTTTTGCAACTAGAATAAGTATTTTTAAATTTGCGATAAGCTGAACTAAGACTAAGTCCAAAAAAGTGTTTCTTCTTTAAATAGGAATTACTATTCCTTGAATATGTGATTAGTGAAGAGGATATTCAAACAGATTCAAATAAAATAGCTGTCATGAGAATCTTTTCAGTACTAAAAGACTTAATACAATTAAGAGGATTCATTACTTTAATATTATACTACAGAAAATTCATAAAAGGTTTTGCTAATATCGTCAAACACTAGTTGAAATAAAAAATTTCGATCATATGACTTTCGATCAAGTTTCAACTGATTCAGTATAAAATTTCGGTCATTATTAGATTTTAGCTTATGTGATTGCTGATCTGCTTTACTGAAACTCTAACAAATTTTTAAGTTTAAAGTTATGTGTAAAAAGAATATAAATTATACAAATTTCACTTTATATACTTTATATGCAATATTAACAAATGTTAAGTTTTCTATTAATTGGATTTACAACCAAATAATTCTTCGCATTTTTCTGACCTAAAATTTGATATTTTACTAGTATAAACTTACTGAGAATGTTATATACTAAAACAATACAATCGCATCCCTCAGGGTAAAACTCTGTGTCTCACAACTTAACATTACAAATTTCGTCATTGTCAATACTGAAATAGTATCGATTACTTATTACATATTTATACCACTGAATGAATGCCAAATTATGTTCTAGTTCTCTATCTAATAAATTAGTCTTGTGAACAAAAAAAATTGCACTTGACCGGGAAAACAATCAATATCACCATCTTTCATTATAAATTTTGTCAAAATGAATGAGCTTTTCAAGTGACGAGATAACATATTTGAACTAAATATCTCAGAGCTAATTCGGCATTTACTGAATTGATTTATTTTGATACCAATTACTATTGAATCTTTATGATCTTCTCCAAATAGTTTTCAAAACTCCAGTATTTCATAGGTTGCTATGTAGTATTTGACCAATAAATTAAGCATTGAATCTGACATTATTACATCTTCAGAAATAGGTCTCATTATTTCACTTGGGAATAACTCACTTCCAGTAATTGATGATTGTTGAATATTTCATGAATTCAATCAGAATCATTCAATTTTATTAGAAGAAAATTTGTCAGTTTCTGACAAAGATCTAACTGAAGATCACTTTTTGAGTAATTCTAGACCTTTTATATTTACACTAGAGCTTATAATACTATTAATACAAATGTTAAACATTAATTGGCACATAAGCTCTGGTTCAATTTTCCTATAGCTGTTTGGTAAGACACCTAAAATTTAAACTATTATAATTATTTACCATTTTTAGAAGCATTACAGTAAACAAAAAAAATAGTTTATCTAATATACCATTCATATGCTTAAACAAGAAGCATCAGAATGCGTATAAAGGTTCAAAATCATCAATACATGCGTTCAAGTAAAGTGAGAGATGAAGGTTTGGTATAACTTTATCTCTTTCATAATGTTCTTCAATTAACTTCACAATCTTAATCAATCTCTAATATGCTTTTCTAACCGAATCATTTCTAAAATACGGCTTACTAAAATAGTACAAATTCTCACAAAATGATAGAGAATTTTTCGATTATGACCTGAAAGATACTCCTAAAGAATAACAGTAATATACATCATAAAAAATATTTTCCACTGATCTGTGGTGAAGTTCAAAAATCCTTCACCACAGTCAATTTTATTTAAAATACAATCAATATTAAATGGTACTTGAAATCTATCCATTGTTTTCTGAATAATCTTTAAAATGTTTGTTGTCAAAATGCCCTCATCAACCCAAATATGTTTCACTATTCACCTTGCAATACCTAAAAATAGGTAATGCATTGGGTCAATAATTAAAAATTAAATTAAATCGAAATATGGCAGACAAAGCAATTCAGACCATCTAACACCTGTGTTTCTAACAAAATACTTCCTTACAGCATCTGATTTGCAATGTTACTACACAAGAGCATTTTGAAAATGTTTATTTTATCACAAGTAATGAACTATTTATATATATCATTCATTCCTGCAAAGTTGTGTTGCCGATTCTCATAATTTGCATATTTCTTGCACTGATGACATGAAACAAGTGCTAAAATGTAACCACATATTTTTCTAGCCATAGAAATATCACACAAAATAAGTATTAATACTGCGCAAATTTTTTTCCTTTCTTCATTTCGTATGTTTTATTTAAAGTCACCTCAGTCTAAAGTGACTCTAGTTCATTAACAATCAGTACTAAATAATGATTTATTTTATGTAAACTCACTTAATTTAGACCAGGTAACAAGTCAAAAATTAGTAGATTTTCACGTTTAAATCAGATGTCTTACAACAAGTTGCATACAGCAGCATATATTATACTGATGCTGTGAATTGAACTCTCGTATGGCTGGAATTAATCTAGATTTATTATTAAGCCAATGTTTGAATCAGTCATTTTACTTTGAAAAAAATTCTCATCATTTGTGTCTTTAAAGCTTTTTCAGATTTGTCTATTATATATATTAGTCAAAATGTTATTGAAAGTTGACCTATTGACTCAATGTCAAAGAGAACTTTTAAAACCAGGTTGAAGATACAAGATTGATAAATCCCTGCAAATGGATAAATCATCTCAGGTCGAATTACAATTTTATTTAATAATCTTGTTTGATTAGATAGAGAAGTTTGACATAATCAGCATCTTGTTGAATTGGAAAATTCAATATGTTGATATTTCATAATGATAAGAGTTTTATTTTGATGATAACTTTTTACTTCACTCTTTTTGTAAAGTTTGTGACATTTCGTATAAGATACGAAACTTTAAAATTGATCCTTAATGCTAAGCATTCGCCTTAATTTGTAAAGTGATTCTGGAAAGTCTTCAAAATCATTGCCACTGAATTCGCTTAATACCAATTTTATGAATTTTATTAGTGATTCGATTGCTGTTTCTGAAATATTGAATCTTGCTCAAAATTTCATAATCTATAATAAAATCCATAAGAATCGATCATCAGTAGTTGGTTAATAAGTAGCACTTAGATCTTGGAATGGTTCAAAAGAAGAATAGGAGTAGTCTTTGAAATTATCATTATTTACTGGTTCATTGTCTTCTTCATCACTATGAAAAGTATCAGTACTTTGATCTTTAGACGTGAAATCAGTAGTTTCTTCTACTGTCAAATCTGCCTATTCAATGTCATCAATAGAAACCTCAACTGAAAGATTTGTTATATGTCTTAGTGCGCGTTTTCGAGGTAAAATATTGTTAGTATACGAGTGCCCTTACTGAACTTCATTAATTTCTTGTTCATTTAAAATATTCAATCGATATAATTCATCGACATCTTTCTGAATTTCAGGATTTTATAAAGATTCGGGTAATTCATTTTGCAAATAAATTACTAGTAGAGACATTAACGATTCATCAGCTAAAATATTTGCCAAATTTATGCTATATGATTCGTCTAATTCATGTCATATCTTTGTGCAAGATTCAATTAAATCACCATTATATTTATTACAGTAACAGGATACTTTTCACTTTCTTCTTGGTTGAACAATTGACTGAGTCATTTTTTGAATAAATTGAATTGATACAGGATTTTTATCATCAATTACACTAGATATTGACCTTTTTCATACCATTTTGTTATACGTGTAATTGTATCGTATTTGATAAATTTTGATAAAAGATCATTAATATTAGTACATAAACTATAAAGTTTTTCTTCTACGAATGAAATGAAATTGTAGCATTTATACTTATTTTAAATAAAAATACAAACATTTATTACATTTAATCAAAAATATGAGTTTGTTATTATATAAAATAAAAATAAAATCATGAGTTTATTTACTGTAAAGTTTAATATAATAATACGCATATTATAGAAAATAAAAAAATGAAATTTTACTATAAAGTTTTAATAATATGCTACCATGCAAACGTAGGAGTATGATTATATAATAGTTATTTTATTTTTTGTAATGATCTTTGTGATGCAGCTATGAAAATAATGTCATAAAATTCACATGACTGATTTTGTCAACTGTATCACACGTGATATTTTTTATAGTTACATAGAAATCTTTTATATAATAGTATTACGATTTCAGTTTGATTAATAATAAACTTTTTTTTGAAAATATCAGTAAAAAAAGCTATAGAGAAAGTTAATCGAATTATTAATCAAATTATAACATTATTCTTCGCTTAATATAAAATAGTCCAGTTTATGTGTATTTATATATTAATATTTGATTATTTTTTGCTAGATATAAATCGTAAAGTAAGATCCAATCAGATAAAGACTGCTTTTATCTTTTAATTCTTAATTTTGTTTCAGAAAGAAGAGAAGAGAGAAATGAGAGAGAAGAAAGAGAAGAAAAGAAAATAAGAGAAGAGAGAGAAGGAAGGAAAGAGAGGAAAGAAAAAGAAGAAATAGAAAGAAGAAAAGAAGAAAAAGAAAGAAATAAGAGTCAAAAAAG